AGTGTTTTTTTTGAAAGAAATATTATTTTGATTGAAAGTATCTGAGTATTTGCTATAATAAAAAATAGTCTGTAATTGTGGCAGAAGTGTTTCCATTCTTCCTTTCTTTTGGTTGATATTTCTTCTATGTGGTGCCTTCTTTTTAGGTGATAGTATTGTCTTATACCTTTCTTTACTGCCTTAACAAATATTCCTTTCAGAAAGAATGGATTAGAATTGACTTATTTATACTAGAAAGTAAATACCTTGTATGAATTCAGATTGTCACTTTGTTCAGAGACAAAGCTATAAACCAAAAGAATAATCTGTACAGTACAACTTACAGAATAGAAAAAGGAGAAGAATCTTCTGGTCATATCAGGAATCATTTTGTGTTTCTATGTGTTCATACCTGTTCATAAGTCAGCCCACAGAGTTTTCAATAGTAACTTTAAGCGTGACTCCACTAGCTTTTAGGACTAAAGTTGAATGCTTGCCAATACCTACAGAAATGATATTATAATTTGGGGCTCTGTTATTGGAAACATTTCAAAATAAATACCAAAAAAGATGTTAAGTATCTGTATTTTTATAAATTTACATATGTAAAATGTATTTAATACAATAATCTTTCATAGATCAATAGTCATCTTAAGAGACTTTTCATAATCATATCTATTCTGTAAATGCTTCATAAAACTAACAATGATAAATGCTGGAGCGGTAGCCATCATCCATGGCCTTATTAATGATTACATCCTATAACTCAGCCAACCTTGGCAGGTTACTGGTATGTGTAGGTTAAGCTGTATTTCACTATCGTGTCTGTTCAGCTATTTGAGGGTGAGAATTGCAATTTTTGGCTGTTCTTCTAGAATTCTAGAATTCTTACTATAAGACAAATTATCTTTGACAGTTAAGAAAAGTATTTTTTTTAATTTGTTATAGTTACCATTTACTTTGATCACTGGTAATTGACCTATATCTGCATATATATATATATTCTAAAATAGTTGTTTAAAATTTTCTGTTTATATACTGCATACTATTAATATATACCTATCTACCTCTGCATCTGAGAGCGGGACAATGAATAAGAATGATAGAAGAAGACTTGATGCCTTTGAGCTGTGGTGTGGAAGGAAAGTACTAAATATCCATGGACTATCAAATGAACAACAGGTCTGTTTTGGAAAAAGTGTAGTTGTAGTGCTCTTTGGAGGCAAAAATGATAAAGTTTCATCTCATATACGTCAGGCTTGTTATTGGAAGAGGCTAGTCTTTGGAGAGGGACATCATGTTTGAAAAGGTCAAGTGTTGGCAACGAGAAGACGACCATCCTTCAGATGAGTTCATCGTCCAGCACAATGACTACTGCAGTGGGCAAGTGTGTCAGGAAGTGTGAGGATGGCACAGGATAGGACACAGTTCAGATCATAGGGTCTCTATGGGTCGTTCTCAACCCAGCAGCACCTAACAACAACAGTAACATTTACCTTTTCAGGATAGAACTTGAAATTATCTTTTTAACTATAATTGCAATGCCATTCTTCTTCTGCTTTTCATTCCCATCATTGTGTATCATGTGATTGTGTGATTCAGAGTGGTCCATACCAGTCCATCTCATTTTCCTACATATATTCCAATCCCGTCAATGGAATTCAAAATTGAATTCCAGTCAATTCAGTGTTGTGAATGATAGGATTTTATCCATACATGTGCACGGAAGATCTGTTAATAGAACTATTATTCAAATCTTTATTCCAACAGCCAAAGCCAAAGTGGAGGAAAACGAAGAATTTTACCAAATTTAGCAGTCCAAATTCACCAAACATAAAATCAAGATGTGTTAATAATAATTAGTGACAGGAATTGCAAAAGTTGGAAACAAGGACTGAAAATCAGAAAGTACAATTTAGTAACAGAAATGAGGCCAGAAATAGAATGATTGAATTTTGTATGCTGAATAATTTCTTTTTAACAAAAACACAAATGATGATTTTACACATGCACCTTACCTGATGGGCTGCACAGGAATCTGTTACATCTGTTGAAAGAATTGGAGAAGCTCAATATCAGCAGTCAAAACCAGGCTAGGTACTGGCTGTGGAACAGACGATCCATTACTCATGTGCAAATTCAAATTGAGAGTGAAGGAAAATGAAAACAAGTTGGTAGGAGTCAAAGTATGACCTTGAATCTATCCCTGTTGAATTTAAAAATAATTATAAGAATAGGTTTGAGGCCTTGAACTGCAGTGATCAAAGACCAGGTGAGTTGTAGTATAACATCAAGGCTATCATCCATGAAGAGAACAAGGTCACTACAAAGATAGAGGAGAAAGAAATACACTAAAACGGATGGCAAAAAAAAGATGTTGAAAATTGCACCAGAGCTTTGAGAAGCCAAAACAGAGGGAAGAAATGAGAATAAGTGAAAGAGCTGAACAAAAAATGTCAAATGGTAGTTTGAGAAGACAAAGGAAAGTATAGTGGAATGTGTAAAGAGCTGGAATTGGAGAATAAAAAAGGGAAGAATTCACATTTCTCAGGCTGAAAGATCAGAAAAGACAAATGCAAGCCTCAAGTTTCCATACTTAGTGATGCTATGGGCAAATCTGGAATGATCTAGGAAACATTAAAAGAACTTGGGGGAATACGCAGTCACTTTACCAAAATGAACTGACTAACACTGAACTGTTTCAGGAAGTACCAGTGATCTAGAGCCAGTCATGGTAAAGGAAGAAGTTCAAGCTGTACTAAAGACATTGGCAAAAAATAAGACCTCAGGAATCAATGAGATGTCAATTGATATTTTTCAAATATCAGATGCCACCCTGGATGTGCTCACCAGTATTTGTCAGGAAACTCGGAAGACAAGGCCAACTGGCTGGAAGAGATCTGTATTTGTTTCCATTCCCAAGAAAAGTGATCCAACAGAATGGAAATTATTGAACAATATTATTACTATCACATGCAAGCAAAATACTATAGAAGATTATCTAAAAACAGCAGGAACAGTACATAAATTACTGCCAGAAGTTCATGCTGAGTTTAGATGAGGCTATGGAGGCAAGGATTCTGAAACTTTGTGTGACATTCTTTGGGCATTTTGCAAGGAGGGACCAGTCCTTGGAGAGGGACATCATGCTTGGGATGGTGAAGGGACAGTGCAGGAGAGGAAGACCCTTGATGAGATGGATAGATTCAGTGACTAGAGTAGTGGGAGTAGGTGTGTCACACGCAGTGAAATTGACACAGGACAGAGCAGCATTTAGGGTTGTTGTAGATAGGGTCATTATGAGTTGCAGGCAACTCAGCGTCACATTACAACAACAACATGGCATAAAGAATTTTACTTACTGATGTCAGATGGATCCTGGCTGTAAGCAAAGAATGCCAGAAGAATGTCTGATTATGATTTATCAGCTATGCAAAAGGGTTTTCACTGTGTGAATCATAATAAATGATGGTTAACATTGAGAAGAATAGCAAAAAAAAGTAGGAATCCCAGAACACTTAATTATGCTCCTACAAAACCTATGTAGAGAAAATCAAGACACTATTGTACAAAAAGAGCAAGGGTACACTACATGGTTTAAAATTAAGAAAGGTGTGTCTCTGAATTGTATCCTCTCTCCATAGCTATTCAGTCTCTGTGCTCAACAAATAATTTGAGAAGCTGGATTGAAGACACATGTGTCCTCCGGATTGGACAAAATCTCATCAACAACTTGTGTTATGCAGATGACACTGCTGGTCTTGCTGAAAGTGAGGAAGACTTGAAGCATTTGCTGCAGAAGATCAAAGACTACAGCTTTCAATATAAATTACATCTCAGCATTAAGGAAACAAAAATTCTCATCACTAGACCAGTGGTGATCATGATATATGCAACATCAAGATACATGGAGAAAAGATTGAAACTGTCAATGACTTCATTTTTTCTTGGATTCACAACCAACATCCTTGGTACTAGCAGTCAGGAGGTGTGTTGTATTTGGAACTTCTACAGTCAGAAACCTCTCCAAATTACTGAAGAGCAATGATGTCAGTTTGAGAACTAAGGTGCTCCTGATTCAGATTATGGTCTTTTCAATCACTTGCTGTGCATGAAAGCTGGACAGTAAATACAGATGACAGAATAAGAAATTATACCTTTGAGGTATAGTGTTGGAGAATGGTACTGACTATCCCATGGACTACCAAAATAACAGATATATCTTAGAGAAAGTACAGCCAGGGGCTTTCCTTGGAATGGGACATTAAATGGTGGAGATTTGGTAAAACTAAGGAATCATATGCATTGACCCAGTGACTGCTGCAATGGATTCGAGTGTGTCAGAAATTATGAAGATGGCACAGGATAGCACTGGGTTTGGATCTGTTGTTCATCGGGTCACTGTAAGTCATACTTAACTCAATGGGACTAACAATAATTTACCTTTTTATTGTATCTTATTGCTTGTTTAGGGAACTGTGAAGCAGCTACTTGAATCTTCTTTAAGTAGACCTCCGAATCATAAGGTAGCCACACTTTTACATTTTCTTCACCAAAAGGAAGAATTTCCTCAGTTGTTTTTGAAGTCTAATAGTTAGGATACTGTTTTGGCTGCTTTGATAGACATTATATAAGACCAGCTTAAGCAAGTGGCTTCAAATTTATTTCTCATCTAAGTCAAAGCTGGTACATACATTGTCCTAAAGTCATCTAAAGGTCTAGTTTATTCTCTCGTTGTTCTGCCATGCTTTAGCATGTCAGTCTTCATCGTGGTGTTAGCGTTGCCTTACTGCCCCCGCCAGCCCATGGGAAGAGAAAAGCAGAAAATGGTTCCAGGTCAAACCTTGAGTTTTTGTGTGTTTTGATTTGTTTTTTAGAGGAAAGGAATGCAGGGGGAAAAGGATACTGCTACACTGTTACCAGACTCTAATACAAGGATTGTTGTTGTTAAGTGCCTTCGAGTCACAGGCGACTCATAGCGAGCCTATGAAGGAGAGTCCTCAACGCTTGGGTGTCTCTCATCCTCTCTCCAGGTTCATAGGGTTTCCGGAGGCAAGCTATTATGTAAGTGCATGCCACTCCTCCTTCCAAGCCTGTTTTAATCAGGGAGCTCCACCCCACTCTCTGCCCATATTGGGTAAGCACCCATTAACATCAGTGTCACAGTATTCAGCCCCACAGCAACCACAAGTTACCACTGTACAGCAACTATACAAGGATTAGAAATTTTATACTTTGTTAGTCAGTTTGTATCCAAGGCACCCTAGTGACTTAGTACATTCATAATTGAATGCCACTAACCAAAATGTCAGTGGTTCAAACCCACCAGCTGTTCCTGAGGAGAAAGATTACGCTTTCTTCTCCCATAAAAATTCAGCACCTCAGAAATCCAGTGAAGGGTCTCTGTCAATCAGAATTGACTTGACAGTGGTGAGGTTTAGTTTGGGTAGTTTATAAGGACTAACTCATAATTCAGATTACAGGAACCATGAGTATTATGAATATAGCTCCAATTTAGCAAACTATGTAAGAATTTTCTTTTAATAAGTGGAAAACTGATATGATGCAGAATTACAGTTGTAGTTGTTGTTGTTGTTGTTGTTGGGTGCTACCAAGTCGAGTACAGCTCATAGTGACATTTTGAACAAAAGATCTGAACCCTGTTCTATCCTGTGCCATCTTCACACTTCCTGACACACAAGAGCTCATTGCAGCAGTCATCGTGCCAGTCCACCTGGCTGAGGGTCTTCATTGTCTTCACCAACCCTCCACCCTTCCCAGAATCATGTGTCTTTCCAAGGAGTAGCCCCTTCTAGCAACATGCCCGAAGTATATGAGGCAAAGCCTCAACATTCTTGCCTCCGAAGAGCACCTCTAGCTGCACCCTTTGTTCTCTTGGCTGTCCATGGGATGTTCAGTGCTCTTTTCCAACACCACAGCTCAAAGGTGTCAATTCTCTTTCTGTCATCTTTATTCATTGTCCAACTCTCAGATGTATAGCAAGTGATTATAAAGACAATGGCCTGAATCAAACACACTTTAGTCCTCAAACTGACATCATTACCCCTCAATATTTTTGAGAGATCCCTAACTGCAGATTTTCCCAGTGCAGAGTGTCTTCTTATTTCCTGACTGCTAGTACTAAGGGGTTTAATTGTGGATCCAAGCCAGATGAAGCTGTTGACAGGTACAGCCTCCTCTCCATTCATCATGATATTGCCCAGCAGTCTAATGGTAAGACTCTTTGTTTTCTTGTCATTGTGATGCAATACATACCAAAGGCTGCATTCCTTGATCTCCTGCAACAAGTGCTTCAAGTCATCTTCACTTTAAGCAAGAAAGGTGTGTAATCTACATAATGTAGGTTATTGATGAGTCTTTCTCCAGTCATGATGCCATGCTCTTCTTCATAGAGTCCAGCTTTTCAGACACTTTGCTCAGCATACATATTGAATAGGTATTGAAAGAGACTACAACCATGCAGTGTTTCCCTGCTCTGTTCATACAGCAGCCTCCTGGTCCAGGTGTAAGTTCCACGTAAGCATAATTAAGTGCTCTGGGACTCCCATTCTCAAAGCCAGCCACAGCTTGTTATGATCCACACAGTCAAATGCATAGTCAGTAAAGCACAAATAGACGTTCAAGACAGACTAGGAAGCATATGGACACTAAAAGAATGAGGATAGAGAGGAACATTATGCTTAGAAGAGCAGAGGGACAGCTCAAGAGAGGAAGACCCCGGATGAGATTGATTGATGCAGTAACAGGGGCAATGGGAGTAGGTGTGTCGGAGTCAGTGAGACTGGCTCAGGACAGGGCAGGCTTCAGAGCCGTTGTACATTAGGTGACTGTGAGTCACAGGTGGCTCGACAGCATATAACAACAAATGTCCAGAAGGGAAAGGAGCTAGAGAAAGGGGGACAAGATGGTGGTGAGGGGAGGAAATCACTAAGTTAACAAGAGTTTAGTGGATGAAGTGGGGAGGGTGATGGAATTAGGAGAAAACTAATGAGGACCTAAAAAGATAGGGTAATAGTAGGCATAGATCAGTGGTGATTCATTTTATGAACTACAGTGTGTATGAGTAATCATTTGAAGCACAGTGTGAAAGAAGGAATGTGTCAAATACAGTGTACATGAGTAATACACAATATATATGAATTTTATATGCAAATCAATATAATATAAAATAAATGCGGAAAAACTGGGACATTTAAATCTGTTTAAGGAATTTGTATTAGTGTTCAGTATGGCATCTGTGATATGCTAAATGATTATTTTCCCTCTGAAGAGCCTTCTGCCTCAATGATAACCACCATGTAAAATACTGATTTGTATTTTCCAACAGGAAATGTAAATGCAGAATTCAGACATTTGTTTATTGTCATAAAGGGAGCACTACTTAGCAAAAGGATTTGAGGATAGCAATATTATGGAGTTGATCTAGATAGCATTTTTTGTTGATTCAGTAAGCAGGTATGTACTGTGACATTTCAAAAGGTAATTTCTAGCATCAGCATTAAACCTGATATTTATCCAAATACTTAAGACAGTTGTGCCTATTAAAATGCCATATACTGGATTTTTCAATGTCAAAATTAAACTTTATAGAAACTTCATTGTGTAATTACCCTTCAAAGTTATGGCATTTTACATTTTTTGAAAACTTTGCGCAGTTTTATTAATGCACGGATATTCTTTAGCCCATGCTGAAAGAGACTGCCTTAGAAATTACTCCTTTCTAAAAAAAGAAAGAAAGGAATTACTCCTTTCTAATAGAGAGATTGTGGCATCAGTGACCAACCCTTTGTTAATGTTGACTAAATTCCAGTCTATTTTTTACTGCACTAATACTGTCATTGTTAATGTGGCCAAATAAACAGTTACATATCTAATTAGACCTTTTTCCATCCCTCTCCCTCCACCACTTTTATAAACCTTTCAATATTCCTGCCAAGTCCACAATTTGTGACCTTTTTTAAAAAAAAATTAATTTTAATGAACGTTTACAGAGGTTTTGGATTTCCATACATTCATTGTTGCAGCTTTCTCCCTGCCCACCCCTCTTCCCAGTTTGTTCTTCTCTTTGAAAAGTAAAAGAAAAGTTATTTCATAACTTTGATGTAGAATCTCCCTCCTCCTCCAACCCGAATACACTCCAGTATACATTCTGGACTCTTATTATAACTATAATATCCAATCATATATTGCTTTCAAAACAGTTCTCTTCCTCATCTGTTTCAATGCAGTATACATAATTTATCCAGTTTTTCTCAGTCTCACCCTAACCCTGATGTCAGTCCTGTTCTACAATAGTGGCACCATGTAGCACCTGTCCTTTTGTGACTGAGATATTCACTCAGTGTAATGTCCTCTAAGGTCGTCTATTTTGAATAATATTACATGAGTTTTTGTTTTTCAGCGCAGCATAGTATTCCATTGTGTGAATATATCACAGCTTCTCTATCCATTTGTTTGTTGATGGGCACTTAGGTTGTTTGCAACTCTACTATTGTGAACAAAGCCACAGTAAACATGGGTGTGCATATATCTGCCTGGATGGCAATTACGGTTTCTTTAGGGTAAATTCCCAGTAGTGGAATTGCTGGGTCAAATGGTATTTCTATTTGCAGCTTTTTAAGAGAGCACCACACAGCCTTCCATAGTGGTTGCACTGTTTTACACTCCTACCAACAGTGAGTAAGGGTTCCAGTTTCTTCACAACCTGGCCAGCATTTGTTCTTTGTGTGACCTGTCTTTTTATCAGCTTTTCTTAGATGCTATGATGTTGCTAACAGGTAGAATAGATCGACATTCACATTCTCATTTTGCCTTCAATATTCCTTCTTCCAACTCCACGGTACACAACAACAAAATTTTTTTATTCCAGTGGTTGTTGAATATTCTTGTCATGTTTACATATGAGGAAAAACAGACTTGTTGAGGGGTAAACACAGCCAGAATTCCTTTTTATGCCAGGTTTTGTGGAGTCTGTGGGAAACATCTTTGACCCAAATTTCAGGGGAAGGAAGGGAAATGGCTAGCTGTAGCCCTACCTTCAAGTTTCCTTAACTGAGGAAGAGCTCTCCTGTTCAGTAGATGTTTATAAGCTTCAGGGAACAAGCCTACATCACTTGGATGTCACTGTTGTACGACTGGTCTGTTAAAGGAATCTGAGTAATAAGGCCCTTATCACTAGAGGAAATTTGGGCTTATAATAGAACTTTGATGACAAATGAAAACAAATAAAAAAATGTATGTTTATTATTATAAGGAAATACTATTTAGATAGTTGAAATAAAGAACATTTTTTACTATACCTTTATTATTCTTTTGCCTGAACGTTCGTGATGACAGTGTTATAATGCGTTATTGATTATTGATTTCCCTAGGAAGAATATGAAGAGCTGCTTCGTTACGCTATAGTAACTCCAAATATTGAATCAAGTACCACGCAGTCATCTCATCTTAAGGGAGACGTGGTGCCAGATGTTAAAACTCCTTTTGTAATTGATAGTGTTCATCATAATCCAGGTGATGTATCTTTTTCAAAATAGTTCTTAATTTAAGATACTATTTTAAAAATATTATTAAGCTTATTAATGATGCAGATTGTGAAAGTACCCCACAGTAATTCTCAGTCAACCATTAGTCTGCATCATTGTCATCTGAGAGCACATTTTGCATTTTAAATATGTTACTCTTGATTCTTAAATGATAGCCAGATTATTATTTGCACTTCTTCTTGCTCTTATGAAGAGATAAAAGCCATGCAGTGGCAATTGCTTGTCTCTTAATAGAGTTTGTGTTGCATCTCTGTACTTTTTCTATTAACTGTATAACATATTTATCTGAGAAAATATATGCCCAAGCCAAAATTAGAAATAATCCATACAAAAAAAAAAAAAAAAAAAATCCATACGTAGCCTCCAGAAGTCCTTAAATTTATGAGCCATGTGGTAAGATTTTGTCAGTGGTATTTTTTATGAGCATAGAGGATTGTCTCGGTTATCATGATAAGGTGGGTCCTTTTGTGGACCATTTCATAACAGAATTGAAAATTGATTGAAGTCAAGATGTATCTTGATAGATGGGTAAAAGGTGGAGAGCAAAGCATAAAGCTCTTTATGCTTTTCTATTTCTTACTCAAGGGAAGCGCTGGTGGCATAGTCTGCAGAGAGTTGTACTACTAACCCAAAGGCAAACAGCCTCTCAGTTCAGATGCACAAACTCCACAGGGGAAAGTTGAATAGTCTTCTCCCATTATCATTTACAGCCTCTGAAACTGTACTGGAGAGTTGGAACGGCCCAGGGTCGCTGTGATTCATAGTCCAGTCAGCGACACCTGATGGAACAATGAGTTAAAACTGACTTTGTATAAAATATATATGTACATTTAAAAAAAACAAAAAACACCACAAACAATCAGCAAACTGACTTAGTGTCAATGGGTTTGAGATTTTTAGTTTATTCCTTATTCAAGGAACCCCAGTGGCATCGTAGGTTAAGTGCTGGGCTGCTAATGGAAAGATTGGCACTTTGAGTGCACTAGCTGTTCCTTGGTGGAAAGATGAGGTTAGCTGTTAAGAGTTATTGACTTGGAAACCCAACAGAAGGTTTGAACTTGACAGCAATATGTGTATTCCTTAGTCTGTAAAGAACACAACATGTTCAGTATAAGAACCCAAACAACTCAGTCTAAATAAGTGCTCTTTCAAAGAACTCATGCTTTCATTGTTGTTGTTGTTGTTGTGTACCATTGAGTAGGAACCAACCCTGACCCTCCAGTGGGTTTTCAGAAGCAGTTTAATCACACAGGAGGAGATTGCTCATCCTCCCATGGAGGAGCTGGTGGCTTTGAAATACGTGCCTTCAGTATTGCAGCACAGCTCCTTACCGCTCGACCACCTGAGCTCCCTCGTGTGTCTTGCGAGAATTCAGAAAGCCCTCCTGGCTGAGCCCAGATTTCAGGGCTTTGCATTGTAATTGTCCTTGAAATTTTCATTTGAGCTCTTATTTCATAATTTATTCATTTTGCTTTAGCTTCGTTACATTGTAGAGCAAGTTTAATAATCTTTCCTGAAACCCATTTCTATCTTTCTTTCCTGTCTTTTTTTGTGTCCCACAACTCACCTGATCTTTGGTGATTAGAGTCCAGTGTATCAAATTGGTTCTTGAAAAGGTTTTAAGAGTCAGGCAGTATCATCTGAAAGTTTTATTTCAGCTTCCATGTACTGATTTTCGTTTTCTTTATTTTCAGTGTGAAATTGCTTGTAAGCATTTGATGTTCCACAGTCAGCCCCTGGCCTTGATCTGTCTGTTGATACTGAACTTTTTTACTGTTTCTTTCCACAGATGTAGTTAGTTTGGTTTTTGTGTGTTAAGTCACGCAAATCCTTGTGTACAGTTGCCATTGATATTTTTTAAGAAAAGTATTATCAGTGTTATTGATTACACAAATTGCTATCTTTTGATCTTTCCTCATTTCTCTTACAAAGGTTGTATTTTCCAATTACCAATCCTTTGTCTCCAGCTTTGGCATTCCAGTCATCAATTATTAATAACCTGTTTTGATTGCATATCCCATCAGTTTCAGACTGCAGAATTTGGTAGAATCCCCAGTTTCTTCATCTTTGGCTTTGGTAGTTGGTGTACATTTTTTAATAATAGTTATAATTAATCTTGTGTAGATAGATATTGATATAGATATATATATAGAGAGATTATTCTCTCTGTACAGCATTGTACTCCAGGACAGATCTTGAAATACTCTTTTTGATGATGATTGTGACATACTTCCACTTCAGTTTGTCATTTCCAGCAGAGTAGATTGCATGATTGTCTGATTCAGAATGGCCAATTCCAGTCCATTTCAGCTCACTAATGTCTAGGATATCAATCTTTATGTGGTCTATTTCATTTTGACAGCTTCCAATGTTCTTAGATTCATACTTCATACATTCTAAGTTCCAATTATTAATGAATGTTTGTAGCTATTTCTCCCTATTTTGAGTCTTGCCACCTCAGCAGTAGTGATCCTTGATTGAGTAAATGCTTTACTCCAGCTGTGTAGTTAAGGTAGACTTTGAGGTGGCAGATTTTGCTTCATCATCATTTTGAGTGTCTTCCAACCTGAGGGATTCATCTTTCAGCAATATATTGCACAGTGTTCTATTATTATGCATAGGGCTTTTGATGACCTGTTATTTCAGAAGTGGGTGGCCAGTCCTGCTTCTTAGTCTATCTTAAATGTGGAAGCTTCACTGAAACGTGTCCACCCTGAGTGTCTCTGCTGGTATTTGCAATACTGGTGGCATGGCTTCCAGCCAGCTACCACAGTAAGGCAAACTGACAGACAAGTGGCAGTTAAAAATAAGAGCATGGTCTTATACTTTTGTTTCCCATTTACCATGGCAGGTAAATATTCCAGGAAAGGACTACTTTGTTATATTAGGTAACAGATAAAGACAATGTGAATAACCATGATAAACTTGTTAACATGAGGGAGAAATGAGCCTTTGTTGTAAGTCCTTAATATTTAAGAGTTAATGCCACAGAGTCTAGCTTTTCTTCTCTGTGTGTGTGTGTGTGTGTGTGTATAAATATGAGTATATATATCTGTATATCTATATCTGGTGACCTAGCAGTAAGAATCTGTGCTGCCATCCTTCAGGCACACAGTTCAGATCCACCAGCTGCTCCATGGGAGTAGGATGGGCAATCTTCTCTCATGTGATTACTGCTTCTAAAAACCTGCTGGAGGGTCAGCTATGGGTCGGTTTCAACTCAGTGGTACACAACAACGTTTTTATGTGTGTGTGTGTGTGTGTGTGTGTGTGTGTGTGTGTGTGTATGTGTGTATGTAGAGAGAGAGAGAGTTAGTTCTCATGGCCTGGTGGCAAGAAGCTGTGCTACAATCCCAAAGGCATGCCGTTTGAGGCTACCAGCTACTCCACAGGAGAAGGATGGACAGTCTTTTCCCATGTGATTAACTGCATCTGAAAACTGAGAGTTTTCAGCAGGGTTTACCTAGGGTCAGCTATGGGTCAATTCCAACTCTTTGGTATTCAACAGCAACTATATTATCTATATCATTAGGAAGTACTATAGGACATGGAGAAAAGAACCAGGGCCCTCTTTTCAAAAAGTTTAAGTAGTCTATTAAATACTAGATATGAATCTAAGAGAAAATTCATAGCTATAGAATAAAGCAATTCCTTCAGAAGCAGATGCTGAAAAGGAATTTAAGGTACAAGATGTTTATTTGGTGTTAACTTCAATAAAGTGACAGAGAATTGGGCAGAGGGAGAAGTCTGGGATGTCGACCATCAACACTCTGCCCAGCCTAACTGCAGGCTCTTGGAGTGGTGGTTACTCTCACAGTGTCGCAGTCAGGATGACATGATCAGACCTTTGTACCATGTTTAGTCACTGATGTGCTGCCCCGGAATGGAGCTGACAAGGTGACACCTGGTAGAGGCAGGCTGCAGCTGAGAGCAAGTCCTTGCTGAAGGAGGGATCTAGGCATGCACGGTTCTGCATGTCCACCGTGCTGACATGTCCTGCAGCTATGAATTCAGAGAAAGGAGCAGTCACTTGAGAGAAGTCGTCAAAGAGCCAAAACCTTTTAAATAGTATTAAGAGAATAAGATCAAGGATTTTCTAGTAAGTTGAAACTGCTATCCTTTGTGACTAAAGCAGATCAGAAAATAAGTGGAAATAAAAGTAAAAAGATTGATTTGGAGCCAAATATTGAAAAACCTTAAATATAAACTAGGAAATGTCAGCTTCACTTGATGAAGAGGGAGCAAGGGGTTTTGACTGAACGTTTATACTTTTTTTGTTGTTGTTGTTAAGAAAGGATAATTGGATTATTATCTTCACAAAGTAATGCTAATATTTTATTCTGGTCTTTTAGAATTGATTGAAGGAAGCAGCCTTTTTCTAATATAAGGTTTTTGGTTAGATTTTTTTTTTTCTTTCTTGTTTATTATCGTATTACTTTATCCCTAGCATATTGCATTTTACTGTTCAACATGTTCTAAAATCTTATTCATGTATTACAGCTGTCTTAAGTGTATGTGCTTATTTAAGTATGGCTTTACTTAAAAAATTAAAATTTTCTTTTTAGCAGAAAATAACCTTATAGTAAAAGAAACTGGGATGGAACCTGGAAAGCCATGTGATTTAAATGTGTCAAGTCATTCAAAGACAGATGGTATGATCTTTCTTAGCTTGTTTTTTTTATTCATAGACATTTTGTGTTTTGATTACTATTGCTATATTTCATAATTATTTCACTGTATAATAGTTTCCACATGCTGACAGTATTTTAAGATACTTGTTTGTAACAATTCTAACTGCTAATACTTAAAATAATTTTGTATAGTTCTATTTCTGTGGAAATAGTTCAATTAATACAAGCTGGTGTATGCTAATGTCTTGCATCCTTTCTTAAAATTTCTGTGTTACTGAGAAAATATGTTTAAAACTTTAAGGAGATATCAGAAAGTTTAAATATTTTCATGAACATATACAATATTTCCTGATTTTCAATCACTTATGTGTCAACTTAATGATTCTCTTTGTATCTCCACATTTGTTTGTTGTTACGTGCCATAAACTTGGAACCTACACGTACCTTCCAGTGGGTTTTCAGAGGCTGTAAATCACATGGGAGGAGATTGCTCAGCTTTTTCCTGCAGAACACCTAGTAGATTCAAACCACATGTCCTTTTGTTGCCAACACAACTCTTTACCCACTAAGCCACCCGAGCTCTTGCTATATCGTTGTTGTTGTTGTTGTTGTTGTTGTTGTTGTTGTTGTTGGGTGCCATCGAGCCATGTCTAACTCATGGAGACCCTCTGAACAACTGATCTGAACACTGTCCTAGCCTGTGCCATTCACACAATCTCTGACACACTGGAGCCCGTTGCTGCAGTCACCATGTCAGTTCACCTCCTTAAGGGTCTTCCTCTCCTTTGCTGTCCCTCCACATTTCCAAGCATGATGTCCCTCTCCAAGGAATAACCTCTCCTAGCAGCATGCCCAAAGTATGTGAGATGAAGCTTCATCATCTTTGTTTCCAAGGAACCCTCTGGCTGCATCTTCTCCAAGACGTGTGTGTTCTTTTGGCTGTCCATGGACTCTTCAGTTCTCTTCTCCAGCACCACAATACAAAAAAATCAATTCTTCTGTTATCTTTAGTCATCGTTTAGCTCTCAGATGCATACCAAGTGACTTAAAAGAGCGTGGCCTCCCAACCCCAAGGTCAGTCCTGTTTTACAACAGTGGCACCACAGTTGCAGGGAGACTGAGAAAGATGGGATCAATAATGCATACTGCATTGAAACAGATGAGGGAGAAAACTGTGTAAAAGGGATATGTGAGTAGGTATTTTTGTCATGACAGGAGTACAGAACAAAGGCTACATAGTGGAGTGGACCTGGCGGGGAGGGATTGTAAAACAATGAAAGAATTTTTCTTCTACTTTTCCAAGAGGGTAGTGTACTAGGGGGGAGTGTTGGGAGGGGAGAAAAGTACAACAATGAATGACTGGAAATCCAAAGTCTCTCCAAATTTTCATTGAAATTAATAATAAATTTTTTAAAAAGAAAGTAAAAAAAAGAAAAGGTATGGGCCGGGGGGGGAAGAGCATGGCCTGATTCAGGTGCACCTTTGTCCTCCCACCATTACTCCTCAATAATTTGGAGAAGTCCCTTACCACATATTTTCCCAGTGCATTACGTCTCCTATCTCCTGACTGCTGGTACCAACTATCTTGACTGTGGATCCAAGTAAGATGAAGTTGTTGACAGTCTCAATCCTTTCTCTTTCCATCATGATGATGTCTCTAGGTCCCATTCTCTATATTACCTAACATTAATAAATGTAATTTAGTGGTTTTATTTTTCTGCATTATAGGAAACTTTATATCAGTCATTCTGAATGTAATGTATACTTGTTACAATTAGAATATAAAAGTAAGTATAGTGAAACAAAGTTATTAAATTTTTATTAAATATCAGGTATTGTGGGATCTCTGGTGGTGGAATTAATGGTAGGAGTTGGCACTGCCGACCCAGAGGCTTGCAATTCAAATCCACCAGCTATTCCACGGGAGAAAGATAGGCAGTCTTCTCCTGTTCAGTTTGCTGCCTCTTAAAATCCACTGGATGGTCAGCTATTAGTCAGTTCCAACTCAACAATACAAAACAGCAACCTTGTAAATTCACCTTAAGGTCTGCTTTTTATTGAAAGAGGAGATTGGCAAATACTAAAAAGCTTTCAAAACCATACTAACAACATATTGAGACTTGTTCTCCTTACTATAATCAGAATAGTTAAAATAATAAAAATGGATTTTTTTAAAAACTTTCTTTTTCAGTGTAATTTATGTGAAAAATCCTTCTATTTTCTCCTTTTCTTCTTTGTAAATATACATCTTGGACAATGTAGTCTTTTCCTTTACATGATTCCATTTTTTTAAAGGTGAGGCTATTTATCGAATTGTGTTGGAAAAGTCCTAAATATCCCATGGACTGCCAAAAAAAATGAACAGATATATCTTGGAGGAGGGCAACCAGAGTACTCCTTGGAGGCAAAGATAACAAAGCTTTGTCTCACATACTTTGGGCATGTTGCTAGGAGAGATTATTGCTTAGAGAGGGACATCATAGTTGAAAAGGTAGAGGGTCAGCAAAAGAGAGGAGGAATAGCAGATACCTCCTTCAGCCATATGGATTGATATAACAATGGTAGCCATGGGCTCAGGCATGTCAGAGATGATGACAATGGCACAGGATAGATCAAGGTCAGGGTTCAGGCCTTTGAGTCATACTTGACTTATCGACACCAAACAATAACAACAACATATTTATGAAAAAGAAATCACAACCTATAACTTTACCAGTGTGTAGTAAAGATTTTTCAATTTTTTGTTTTCTTGAAATTTAGCATTCTTTGCTCTTCTGGGTTCCTTAGCCATCTTAAGAACATGTGAGTAGCTTTTCATGTAATGTTATATTTGTTTTTATATAAATATATAAAATAAGATATTCGGTGCCATCAAGTCAACTATGACTCGTAGCATCTCTCTGAAGATCAGGTGTGAACCTTCCTCCATTCTGTGCCGTCTTCGTTCTCTGTCATACTCAAGCTCATTGTGGTGGTCAGTCCTTCTTTCTGAGGGTCTTCCTCTCTTTCTCTGACTCTCCACCCTTCCCAGCATGTTATGATACCTTTTTCCAAGGATTAGCCCCTCCTAGCAACATGCCCAAAGTATTCATTTCACCTCCAGGGAGTACCCTCATTGCACTTCCTCCCTCCAAGACAGTTGCTCGAAATAAGATTGCCCATCTTTCTCCCAAGGAGCCTCTAACAGATTTGAACCCCCAGAAAGGAGCCACTTCTGGGTTAGTAGCATAACTTCCTAAAGACTATGTCATCAGAGCTCCTTAATAAACTAGTAGTTTCTTCCTCTTCATAAACTGAATTTCTGATGTTGAAGATATAGTAATAATGGTTTGTATATTGTTCCTCTGACCATTTAAAAGAGTCAGGATCCCAGAACTCTTAATTGTGCTCATGTGAAACCTATGCATGGACCAAGAAGTAGTTGTTTAACCAGAATAAGGAAACACTATATAGTTTAAAATCAGTAAAGGGGTGCATCAGGTTGTATCCTTGCTTCATGTCTATTTAGTCCATAAAGGGTATCTGGTGGCCTAGTGGTAAGGAACTGCACTGTCAGCCCGAGGCCCACAGTTCAAGTCCACCAGCTGCTCTGTAGGAGAAAGATAGGCTGTCCCCTCTCATGCAATTTACTGTCTGTGAGAACACTCTGGAAGGTCACTTCTGACTTCAGGGTACCTAACAACAATTCAGAATATATACTGAGGAAATAAATAAAAAACCTGGGCTCCATGTGGAAGAATGTGCCATCAGGATTAGAGGAAAACTCTTCAATAGTCTGCATTATAAACATGGCACAGCTTTTCAAAAACTGAAGAAAACTTGAAGTACATACTACAGAAGACTGCAGTATTCATTATGGATTACATACCAATGTCAAGAAAACAGAACTTTTCACTACTGGATCAGTATGCAACATCATGGTAGATGGAGGAAACTTTGATGTTGTAAATGACTTCATTATATTTGGATCATCAGTTAACACCCATCATAGCAGCAGTTAGGAAATCAAAAGAGGTGCTGCAGTACTGAAATCTGTTGTCAAGGATCTCTTTATGCTAAAAGCAAAGATGTTAGTTTAAGACTCAGGTACTCCATACCCATGCTATGGCATTTCCATTCATATGCATATGAAATTCAACTATGAATAAGGAAGACTAAAAATAGGGAGCTCTGGTGACCTAGTGAGTAGAGAGTTGTTATGTAAACCCAAAGATAGGTGGTTCAATTCCACCTATCTCTGAAAACCTGTTAGAAAGTCTACTCTGAGTTGGTTCCAAAAGAAGTGAAGCCTTTGAATTATGTTGGTGAAGAGTATGTCATGGAACACTAAGTGTAACTAGGATGCTCCTTAGACACAGGGATGGTGAAATTTCATCTCACATGCTTTGGGTATGTTTTCAGGAGGTTCTAGTCTTTGAACAAAAGACATTATTCTGGGAAAAGTATAGAGTCAGCAGAAGATCCTGAAGGAGGTGGATTGACAATGATTACAGTAGTGGGCATAGTGGGGGAGATAATGAGGACAGTGCAGGAGAGGACAAGGTTTTAATCTGTTGTTTGTAGGGTTGCTGAGTCGCTCGTGGCTAACTTGATGACAGGTGCATCTGATTTCAGGCCATGGTCTTGCCAATGACTTGGTTTGCATCCCAGAGCTGGAAAGTGAGTAAGGGTGACAGAAAAAGAATTGACACCTTTGAGCTGTGGTGTTGGAGAAGAGCACTGAACATCCCTTGGACTACCAAGAGAACAACCAACTATGTCTTAGAAGGGGTACAGTCGAAGTGCCCTTTGGAGGCAAGAATGATGAGGCTTTGCCTTGTATACTTTGGGCATGGTGCTAGAAAAGGCTATTCCTTGGAGAGGGACATGATGCTGGGAAGGGTGGAAGGTCAGTGAAGGAGAGGAAAACCCTCAACCAAGTGGGTTGACACGATGACTGCTGCAGTGGGCTTTTGTGTGTCAGGAAGTGTGAGGATGGTGCAGGATAGAACAGAGTTCCCATCTTTTGTTCATAGAGTCGCTATGAGTCGTACTCAGCTTGACAGCACCTGACAACCACAATAACAAATCTCAGTAGGATCAATTAATTATCCAGTCCTTTCTAAGAATAACAGCTGAGTCTTAGTGGGGAGTATATTAAGAGTTTCAAACTTTATAAAAGTTTGTTTTAGGAACATGTTATTGTTGTTATGTACTGTTGAGCCAAAACTGACTCACAGCTGACCCTCCAACCAGTTTTATGAAGCAGTGAGTAACATGGAAGGAGAATGCCTATCTTTCTCCTAGGAAGCAGCTGGTGGATTCGAACTACATGCCTTCATATTGAGGAGGAGGTGGTGTACTGACAGCACAGCTCCTTATCAGAGCTTCCTAGGAATATAGAACTTACTCAGAACAGAGCAAGGAAACACTGCATGGTTCAAAATCAGGAAGAGACACAGGGATGTGCCCTGTCTCCCATAACTTTTCAATCCATATGCAGAACAGATCATTCAGGAGGCTAGACTTTATGAGGAGGAATGTAGCATCAGGAGTGGAGGTAGACTCATCAATAACCTGCATCATGCAGATGACATCACCTTGCTTGCTGAAACTGAGGAGGACCTTAAGCACTTGCTACAGAAGGTCAAGGACTATAGTCTTCAATATGGGTTGAAACTCAGCATCAAGAAGACAAAAATCCTCACCACTGAGCCACTCGGCAGTGCCACGATGGATGAAGAAGAGATTGAGGTTGTTAACAGCTACAGCTTGCCCAGCTCCACAGTCAGTACTCTTGGCACTAGCAGTAACAAAATCAAAACATGAATTACATTGGGTAAATCTGCTATCAGGTACCTCTCCAGAGTACTGAGAAGCAACGATGTCAGTCTAGAGACTAAGGTGTGCCTGATACAGGCCATGGTCTTCAGAATTACTTGCTATGCATCAGAGAGCTGGACAATGACTAAAGATGACAGAAGAATTGATGCATTTGAGTTGGGCTGTAGAAGAATATTGAACAATACCATGGACCGCCAAGAAAACAAGTCTTGGAGAGGGTGAAACCAAGTTTCTTCTTGAAGGCTAGGATTTTGAAACTCTGTCTCACATACTTTGGGCATGTGGCCAGGAGGGACCAATCCTTGGGAAAGGACATCATGCTTGAAATGGTGGAGGGACAGCACAGGAGAGGAAGACCCCAAATGAGATGGATTGATACAGTAATGGGGCAGTGGGGTGGGGGTGTTGGAGTCAGTGAGACTGGTTCAGGGCAGGGCACACTCCAGAGCTCCTTATACATAGGGATGCTATGGGTCACAGGCAACTTGATGACACATAACAACAAGTGTTGATGATGTAGTAAGGTGGACAGTATTATACCTGATCTTAGGCCTTTTGCTGTGATACTAAACACGGTGACACTGATGTGCCAAATATGCTAATGATTACCCATGGTTTGGTGGAACTTCCCAATTAAAACAAGCTTGGAAGCAGGAGTGGCATCCACTTCCGAAATAGCTTGCCTCTGGAAACTCTGAACAGTGCTCAAGTCTTTCATTCATAGGGTCACTATGAGTCATCTAGCACTTAACAATAATGACACAATAGTGACAACATAGAGAGAACTATGTTGGCCTAGTGGACAGAAAATTATGCCACCAAGCCCAAGGTGGGTGATTTTAATCTGCAGCACTCAGGCCTGGTTTAAATTACTTTTTGTTAAACATTCTTCTAAGTGGTATAGCACTGGTCTGTACATTGCTGTACAGAGTTAACTCATGGTTACTGTGATGCTAAACAATGTAATACTGGTGTGCCAAATGTGATAATGGTTACTCATGGTGGACAGAGTTTGGTGGAGCTTCCCAATTAAAACAATCTTGGAAGCAAGAGTGGCATCCACTTCCGAAATGGCTTGACTCCGGAAACTCTTTGAACAGTGTTCACTTACATTCATAAGGTCACTGTGAGTTGTCTACGACTCAGCAGCACTTAACAACAACAACAACAACAACAGGCCTTTACGTATAAAGCATCCTTATTTAGGATAGAAGCCACTTGAGAAGGCAGTCCTAAATCTATGACAATCTAAAAATTAAAAATGGGCAGATGACATACCATTTGGTTATTTCTTTGTGTTTTTCTCAGCCTGCATAAAGAGCTGGCATTTTCTAGCTGCTTAGTATAAATTTTTACTACTTGGGCTTCTTTTCAATCAGGCTTCACTGCTGCAACTTTTTTTTTTATTTCTAGGGTCATCACCCTTGTCGCCTCCAAGGAAGCCCACTCACCCAGTCATGGATTTTTTCAGTTCACATCTTTTGGATGACTCTTCCTCTCCAGCATCTAATTCAGTGTCCAATGTGGCAGATGCCCATGAAGTGGTGGGGAGTGAATTTCTTATTTCTGATGAAAACCTTCATAAGATGGAAAATGTCCTTGATCTTTGGTGTTCAGATCTTAAGGTATTCAGTTGTTCAGTATGCCATCAACATTTCAATTCTTTCATTTCCCAGAATTAATCCAGTGTCTTAGATCCATTCTTCTCTGTTTAGTGTATGTTCAAATCCCCTTGGAATCTTGTTAAATTTCAGCTTTTTATTCAGTATATATTGTGCTTGGCCTGAGATCGACATTTCTCAGGTAATGCTGCCAGGTGACTCTGTAGGTTCAAGTTTTAAATAACTAAAGCAATGACTCTGTATATTCTGTTGGACTCAAATAATGTTCAATTTATCTAAGTCTTTACTCCATTTTAGTTACAACTTAATGAAAATGTTTCCTTTTTTGTGAGATCCAATTTTAGCAATCTATTCATTTTGTAGCCACTCCTATAGCAGCTATAATATATAAGTGATAAATCTCTCAAAATTACAATGTTCTTGGTCTCTGAGTTAAATAGATACTACAGAAGTAGCACACTGAGTTTGTGGCAATTAATTGGAAAATTAAATTCTAGAAATAGTCTTTCAGTCTATCTTCTATATTTTCTACCTGGTTCAGCTTTCATACTCAGAATCATAATGTTAATCCATTAGAATAGTGTGTCACCTACCACTTAAACTGTGTTGTATTCAGTAAATCATATTGTTAACAAAATTTTTAACAACATAACAATTATCTGGTCTTTCTGTACATAATAGTAGAGTAAGAAGGGATCATTCTTAACAGTTTGTTCTAAGAGGTCATTCTGATAAATGATGAGAGAAAGCATCACTTCTTAGGATTTCAATGAAGGAGAGGAAGTCCCTCGACCAGGTGTATTGACACAGTGACTTCTGCAATGGGCTCTTGAGTGTCAGGAAGTGTGAGGATGGCACAGGATAGGTCAGGGTTCAGTTCTTTTGTTCATAGGGTCACTATGACTCATTCACAACTTGACAGTGTTTAACAACAACATCTATCTTTGTGAGCATTATGGTTCAGCCCAGGCTATAGATCTGCATTACTTTTTGCCTGTGTTATCTTTAGTGTAGACAATTAGGTCTTGGATTAAACAAAGAATCTTGGTGAATTATAAAGCCTGAATTTTTCTTTAATAACAAGATTTTCCTACAAAGAATTTAAAATGAAAAGGAGGGAAATGCCCTCATAGGATGAATGTAAAAAGACCATGACACATTTTCATTCATGTTCTGACTACATAAATAGCTTTTGTGTTGATTACTGGTCTCTTTTTCTTTTCTTGTGGCATTTCTTAATTTCTGTGTAGTTTTAAGAAGTGTTATTAGGAACAAATTTACTTAGCAGTCTCTATCTTTATTTTTCAGACAAATGTCCTATCTGAGCTAAGTAAATGGAGACTTAATTTTATTGACTGGTATCGAATGGAAATGAGAAAGGAGAGAGAAAAACATGCAGCACATATAAAACAACTGTACACCCAAATCAATGACTTGAAGGAGCTGCAGAGTGCTTATGAAGTCTCTATTGGGAGAAAAGATGAGGTATTTTTATATATATCTCACCTACTTTAACTCAGATTAACTAAATGTCTTTTGCTAGTTAGGCTATACAAAGGAAATATAATTTCCCTCAGAAAAAGGGAGGGGGAAATAATCTGTGCTCAAGGTGCATAGCCATAGAATTCATTCTTCCTATTTAAATATACCTTTGAGGTGTGGTGATAAAGAAGGGTGCTGAATATGCCCATGAACTTCCAAAAGAACAGAAAGTCTGCCCCAGAGACCGTGCCACCAGGGTGCTCCTTAGAGGCATGGATGACGAAGTTTCATATACTTTGGGCATGTTGTTAGGAGGAGCCAGTATTTGGAAGGGGGTTCATGCTTCAAAAGGTGGCACGTCAGTGAAAGTGAGAAATTGACAAGATAGATTGGCATGGTGGCAGTAATAATGGGCTCGGGTGTATCAGAGATAATGAAGATGGCATAGAATAGGGCACTTTTCAGATCCATTGACTTGTGTCAATTCAGTGGCACATAATAACATCAAATATGCCAGTGTCATGTCATTTTCTCTTTGCCATTTACATCACTGGACTAGTTTTCATTATTTTGATGTTTTAATGGTAGAAAGGAATGTGCTATTTCGTTGTTGTTTTTGTTCCAATTTTTTTTTCCTAACTGCCCTTAAGAGAATATCAGGGAGCCAATATCACTCGCATTTGAAACCACCTTGTCACTCATTGTTAGCATCTCTGATCTGTGGAATAATAGTCTTTGTTCATCTTGATAATAAATTCAAAAGGCTTCATTTATTTTGCTTTTTGTTAGTCTCTTAAGAACTTTGAGGGTAAAATTCAGGTCCATATTAAGTTTGTGACTCTCAGAAATACCTTGAACAAAACAGCTGGGCAGGTAATACGTGGCTCCTCCCTCACTGATAAATTTATGGGTGGAGACGGGTATGGCTTCCTGAGAAGAGGGATTCTCAGCACATACCTCAGCTACTTTTCTCCTTAAACAGCACTCAGTTTATGGACTAGATGCATGTTGTTGTTGTTGTTATGTGCCATCGAGTCGCTTGCGACTCATAGCAACCCTGTGTACAAGAGCTCTAAACGCTCTTCTATCCTGTGCCAACCTAGCCATCCCAACACACTTATTCCCACCATTGCAGTTAAAGAATCGATCCATATCATCGAAGGTCTTCCTCTCCTTCACTGCCCCTCCACTCTGCCAAACATGATGTCCCTCTCCAAGGACCAGTCCCTCCTTGCAGCATGCCCAGAAGTATGTCAGATGAAGCTTCAGAATCTTGACTCCAAGGAGCGTTCTGGCTTCACCTTCTCCAGGACAAACCTGTTTGTTCTCTTAGCAGTCCATGATATATTCAATACTCTTCTCCAGCACAACAGCTCAAAGGCATCAATTCTCTTTCTATCATCCCTATTCACTGTCCAACTCTCTGATGCATAGCACGTAATTGTGAAGACTATAGCCCGGATCAGGCACACCTTGGTCTCCAGCCTGATGTCGTTGCTCTTCAATACTCTTGAGAGGTCCCTCACAGCTGACTTCCCCAGTGCAATTCATCTCTTGATTTCCTGGCTGCTGTTACCAAGAATGTTGATTGTGGAGCCAAGCAAACTAAAACTGTTAACTATCTCAATCTCTTCACCATCCATAGTGATGCTACCAATTGGCCCAGTGGTGAGAATCTTTGTTTGCTTGATATTGAACTTCAATCCATATAGGAGGCTGCAGTCCTTGACCTTCTGCAGCAGGCACTTCAGGTCCTCCTCAGTTTCAGCAAGCAGGGTTGTGTCTACTGCATAACGCAGGTTGTTGATGACTCTTACACCAATTCTGATGCCACATTCCTCCTCATACAGCCCAGCGTCTCGGATGATCTGTTCTGCATACAGATTGAAAATGTATAGAGACAGAATACATCCCTGACAAACCCCCTTCTTGATTTTGAACCATGTAGTGTCTCCTTGCTCTGTTCTGATGACTGTCTCTTGATCCAAGTATAGGTTTGACATTAGCACAATCAAATGTTCTGGGATTCCCATTCTTCTCAGAGTCAGCCACAGCTTGTTGTGATCCACACAGTCAAAAGCCTTTGCATAGTCAATGAAGCACAGATAGACATTCTTCTGGTATTCTTTGCTTTCTGCCAAGATCCATCTAACATTAGCTATAATATCCCTAGTACCACGACCTCTTCTAAATCCAGCCTACACATCTGGCAGTTCTCTGATGACATACTCTTCCAAACGTTTTTAGATAATTTTCAGCAGAATCTTGCTTGCATGTGATATTAATGATATTGTTCGATAATTTCTGCACTCCTTTGGGTCATCTTTTTTGGAATGGCAATAAATATCAGCCAGCTGACTATCCTCCAGATTTCTTGGCACAACATAATGAGCACATCCATCCAGGGCAGTGTCTGTTTGTTGAAATATGTCAGTTGGTATGCCGTCAACTCCTGGAGCCTTGATTTTGCCAGTTACTTCAGAGCAATGAACTTCCTCCTTCATCACCATAGGCTCTTGCTCATATGTTGTTTCATGAAATTCTTCTTTGTCAGCCAATTCCTTCTGATACAGTGACTCTGTGTATTCTTTCCATCTTCTCTTGATACTTCCTGGATCATTTAACATTCTACCCAAAGTATCCTTAAGTATTGCCACGCGTGGCTTGAATTTGTTTTTCAGCTCCTTCAGCTTAAGAAACATTGAGCAAGTTTGGCCCTTTTGATTTTCTGACTCCAGCTCTCTGCACATTTCATTATAGCATCTTGCTTTGTCATCCCGGGCTGCCTTTTGATATTTTCTGTTTAACTCTTTGATTTCTTGGTTTCTTCCATTAGCTTTGGCTTCTCGGCACTCTTAATGCAATATTCAGAGTCTCCTCTGACATCCATCTTGGTCTTTTCTTCTTTTTCAGCCTTTGTAATGATCTTTTGCATTCTTTATGGACGATTTTCTTTATCCTTCCAGAGCTCATTTGACCTATACTCATTGGTGCTCAAGGCCTCAAACCTGTTCCTGAGATGGTTTTGAAATTCGAGTGGGATAGACTTAAGATCAAATTCTGGTTCCCATGGACTTGATTTAATTTTCCTCAACTTCAGCTTGAACTTACATATGAGTGGTTGGTGGTCTGTCCCACAATCACCACCCTACCTGGTTTTCACTGCTGATAATTGAGCTGCTTCAGCAAGTCTTTCCACAACTGTAATCGATTTGATTCCTATGCATGCCATCAGGTGAAATCCATGTGTATAGCCTGCATTTATGTTTATTATAAAAGGTATTTGCAATGATACACTTTTAAAAAGAAATATTTCCTGGAGCTCTGGTTGCCTAATGGCAAGAAGCTGCACTGCAATCCTGAAGGCTCGTGGTTTGAATCCACCAGATGCTGCGCTGGATAAGGAGGGGCAATCTCCTCCTGTACCAGTCGGATCCGACTCAATGGTACACACACATACACACACACACATGCAAATAATTTTTAAAAAATAAAAAATATTTCCTTTGATTTTTGTGAGGTGTGATATAAAATGAATACTTCATATGCTATATTCTCTTAAAATAATAGATGCCAATGTCAATTGTTTTCTTCATTGCCTTCAAAGCTCTTATAAAATGTTATTAGTTTTTTTTACTTTCGAGTATTATCACAGGAAGGAGAGATAGATCATGTTCAATTAGTAGAAAGTAATAAAAAGACTAGTTTTAAGAACTAGAATATTACCAATATCTTAAAATGTTGCTTTTTTCCTCTGGAAATTATTTAAAGAACTAGAATAAATGTGTTTCACTAACTGTATTCAATGGATTTCTACCAACTTTTGTAGTCGGAGATCAATCAAGATGCATTGATAATAATGGGTGACTGTAATGCAAAAGTTGGGAACAGAGAAGAAGAATCAGTAGTTGGAAAATATGGGCTTGGTGACAGAAATGAAGCTAGAGATAGAATGATTGAATTTTGCACAATCAATGACTTATTCATGGCAAATACGTTTTATAAGAAACATAAACGCAGGTTATACACGTGGATTTCACCTGATGATATGCATAGGAATCAGATCAATTACATCTGTGGAAAAAAACCTCTGGAGAAGCTCAATACCAGCTGTGAAAAGTAGGCAAGGAGCTGATTGTGGAACAGACCACCAACTACTCATATGCAAGTTCAAGCTGAAGCTGAGGAAAATTAAACCGAATCCACAGGAGCCAAAATATGACTTTGATTTCATCCCACCTGAAATTCTTTTTTCTTTTTTTCTTTTAAATATGGAACGCTTCACGAATTTGCGTGTCATCCTTGCGCAGGGGCCATGCTAATCTTCTCTGTATCGTTCCAATTTTAGTATATGTGCTGCCGAAGCGAGCACCCACCTGAATTTCAGAATCATCTCAGGAACAGGTTCAAGGCCTTGAACACTAATGAGCAAAGACCATATGAGTTGTGGGA